CTCTAAAATTGAAATATAAAATTTATCCCGTTTGAAGCTAAAACGGGACTAAAGTATCTCATCTTATATTGCAGGACAAATTGTATGCCTAAATTAGACCAATTTTATAGTTTGAAAACTAAAATATCTCATTTTAAAATTTAAGTACTAAAGAGAGAATTTGGATATAGTTGAAAGACGCAAAATAGAATTAACTCTATTCTGTTTGAACTTTGGCTCAATTAACATTGTTGTATAAATTTATATGTAAAAAATTCAAACAATTCGAGTTTGTCTGAAAAATGTTTGTTTTAGTTCAGTCTTGATAAATATTTAATCCAAGCTTGAAATAGTTAAACCAAAATTGGCAATTATTTTTTAAGAAGGGGGGACAAAGAACAAAAAAGACAAACTATTCATCCTCAATCTACTTAATTTTTTTCCATCTTTCTCCATCCTCATTAATGAATGTGTGTAGAAAAACAAATAGTAAACCACTTTAGTCAACTGAACTCATTCCTTTTCAAGTAATCTTTGGATTGATTTTGGTAACTTGTGTGTTTCACTAATTTTTTTTTCTAATCTGCTGCAGAGTTTGACTAATCTTCATGATAAAACTAAAACAGATTTACTACTATCTTTTGGGTTGCGACAATGATTTGGTGGCAATTATTATTTTAATCTTGAATTTTTTTTAATCATGAATTTTTTTGTTGTTGAAATTTGATTGATTAGCATCAGCTAAAGTTCTTAGCTCTCAAACTTTTTGAGGATTAATGATTTTTTGGCTCTTTGATTTGATGTAATTATAGAAATTATAGGATCAACTAAAGTTCTTAACTCCATGGAGAAGAAGTGAAGAACCTAAGAAATTGTATATCATTGAGCCCTTGTAAACTCATCGGTTGAAATTTTTTTTACTAATCTATGTCTTTTGTTTGTTAAAGAAAGAAATGAGTCCTTTTCTCACAAAAATTCTGGCTATTGATATCTATTACAAACAATACATCTTGAATTGAGCCTTGTGACCTTGCTGCAGTATCCATCATCCAATCCAACAGTGCCAATTTAACATTGCCAATAAATTGTGAGGGTATTCACTTCCACTATACTTGTCAAGTAGTTTCCAAATGATGAAGATCTTATCCAGGAACATGTTTTTCATTGAAAATAGAAATAAGCTAAAACCTATCATCTCGAATAACACTAGCAGATATAACCATGTTATTCTTTATTTTCCAGGTACAAATGATCCAGTTCAGCTAAAAATTGTATATATTACAAGAAATTCCAGTTCCGCTTCCAAGTGATGTACCAAGCCACCTGAAAAAGCATAAGCAATAACATCAGATGACATTTGATCCTTGTCACAAGTTCAAACATCTTTCAATTTTTAACAATAAAATTCTGAAATAACTGGTCATATGTAAATGATCTCAAGACACAATCGTTAGAAACAACAACCAGGAAACCTCCCCTAACACAAAATCTTTAAAAGATAGACACAAAATCCAAAACTATTTGTTGGAGACTCTTTTTTTTTTTTTCTTCCTCTTGGTTATCAGGAGGATGAAAAGGTGCAGGACATGTAAGAGAGATGGATATAATTTACTAGGAGATTTTCATGACTGCATATGGAATTCATCAACTTCTCCTCCAAATTCTTTTGTTGAGCACAATCTGGTAAACCTATCAAAGCTTTGAGGCTTTCTTGAACGACAATATCCTATTCCAATCCTCTGACAAGGATTTCAAACATTGCCATTGTCTAGAAAGAGACACCTTCTTCAAAGAATTACCATTCTGCAAAAAGTAGGGTGGAAGTTTCAGAGAAGTTGTAGATGTGTTATTGGTGGCTGTTCATAAATATGGAAACATTGTTTATTGTAGGTAAAATTACGAATTTACCAAGTTCGTAATTTTACACCAGCTCCAACTACCAATTGTTCCTCTTTCTCCTGGAAGATGTTAAAAGTTGAGGTCCATTGCCAGGAAATGCATTCAAATCGTAGTAGGAGATGTGCAGATGACTCACTTGTGGTATGATTGGTGGCACCCTGTTGGACCTCTGATTCAACTGTTTTTTGCTTGCATAATTCACTTGGCACTATCATCAATTCACTTGGCACTATCATCCTCAGCCCTATGAGGCTCTGGTAGTCCATTAATATGGAGACAAAGGATAGGAACCTCAAAATACAAGTGGCTGCAGCATCCTTCGTGTACAGAAAGGACATAATGTGATGGAGAATCATCTGGAAGGGCACTCAACCAATCAATACCATCATCATTTTCTTGATTTGGCGTTTCAATTTTTCCAATTCTTCTTTTACTAGATTTTTTGTCTCCACAAGTCATTGTTTGACTGATTGTTTCCTCAAACTAACCAAATGGGATTCTTTTCTATCCAAATTTCTCAAAATAGCTCAGGGATCCAGGGCATTAAACATCAAAGTATCGATGCATAAAGCTAAATTAGCAAGTTTAAAAGAAAAATGTATGAATTACAAAAAAAACACAGAAGAACCTGCAAGAGTTTGTAGACTGGTGGCTAACTGGCCATTGCATCTGGGGTCAGCTAATTGAGAAGACAAGACCACCGGATTATCAGCCCCATTTCATCAGGCTTCTCAAGTTGATGACGAATTTCTGATGATCTTCGTCCTCCACTCAAATTAGTTAAGAACGCTAGAAAGGGAATACGGGGCAGGAGCGGTCCTCAGACGATCGCTCCTGAACGGTCTCCTCACAATAAAAAACGTGAGGAGACAAATAAGCCAAGTCAGCAAGGCTGAAGCAGGGCAGAAAAACGGCACCGTTCCAAATAAAAAAATGTTGACTTTCAAACGTGAGCAAACGGAGCAAACGGAAGAGAAGTAGATTTTGAAATTCAAGTTGAAATTTTGAATTAGCCGCAGAAAACAAAACTGAGGGAAGAGTCTTGGCGTGCTTCTGAAGGAGCTCTACTCTGACAGTCTGACCGACCGCTCACTGAAGGTAGAAAGCTGAAGTTCGAGTGAAATTCGACTTACTAGCTCTTTCTAGGTGAAGTGAGTGTAGTCTACTCTGATGAAAATAGCAATTGACAGAAAAGTGAGTGGAAAGGCAGGCGGCAAGGTAGAAGCAAATAGAGATGAAGCCAAAGTTTGGACGGAAAACTGAATAGCAGAAGCAGCTGTGGTTTTCAACTGGGTATAAGAGTATTGTATCTATTTTGAATACGCACAAGGCAGGCGGTAAGGTAGAAGCAAACAGAGGAAGGACAAAATCTCACGAAGCCAGATTTTGTCCTTCAACTTAATAGCAGATGCAGCTACGCTCTCCGACTTCGGTGAAACGTGAAGCGTATTAGCAGACCAAGGTAACATGACTGAACCATGTCAGTAACTGTGGCCAATAATTTGTCACCCAAATGCACATCTGTTAAATGAAGGATGAAATTAGAGTCACTGAAGACATAATATGAAGATGATACAAGAATAGTGAAGTTGTACTATATTAAATATATGTACCGTATCTGTGTGTGTGACCATTTAGTTTTTCAGTGATGAACTGTAAAGGGATAGTAGTTTTTGGAAGACCTAGGGGTATGTATTCAAGTAAACCATCGAACAGAATTAGGGAAAGATGAGAGAAACAAAGTCACATTTAACAAGTGAATGAATGTACATCTTGTTGTAAATTAGTTACATGTTATAGCCACCGTATTACAATTGATATGAATCATTGTGCATCTAGTAATTGGTCCATGCTCATGGAGTAATATTAGTTTGTCCCTCTATTGACCGTGTAGTGTGTATAAAATAGAGGTATAGAGTTGAATGAGGTGAAACTGAGGAAAAGACATATATGTGAATAATAAATGGGTGAACCTTGTATTGTAAGTAAATTACATGATGTAAAAAATATATTACAATGAGTAGAAAGTGATTGTTTGGCCCTCAAAATATAGAAATAGTAGAAAATGCGGAGTTGGCTTATGCGGTTGTCATTAACGAATGACATAAGGTCCAGTGAGCTAAAGAATCTAGAATCAAAATATAATCACCAGCGTGGATGTACATACAGTTAAAATAGACTTACATCGTGTGACCAATACATTACAATCCGTATAAGTTAGTGTACATGGAGTTGTATTTGTACACAGATTGTCTTAGAGTAAAAGTAAGATGATGTGAATCATTAATCATATTGATAGCGTAATAATAGAATTTGGTATACGAGTAATGTATGATTCATAACACATTATGAATGGTAATATACATTTATGTTGTCGTTTATGTACATACAATTCATGAAGTGTTGCAAATTAGGGTGTTTGATGCATAATTGGCAGGATCAGAAGTAATGGATTGCAGCAAATTGGCAGAAGATGGGACCCCTGAGTTAGGAATGGAGTTCAACAGCGAAGAGGATGCGTACAAGTTTTACAACAAATATGCGTTTAAAATGGGTTTTAGTTACATAAAGACTATCTGAATAAAGACAAAGACGGCGTGACCACGTCTAGAAGATATAGTTGCTGCAAGGAAGGTGTGAAACGCAAGTACGAAGGTGATGTGATGCCAAAGAGGACACGAGCTCCGACGAAAACAAGGTGTGGAGCTAAAATGGTTATTGTGTTGTTTAGAGGAACAATGAAGTACCGTGTGCATGATCTTGTTTTAGAGCATAAACATGAGTTGCACATTGCTCAATGTGCGCACATGATGCCATCACAAAGAAAAGTGAGCGAGGCTCAAGGATTCCAAACTGAAATAAGCGAGGACGCTGGGCTTTCATTGAAACAGAGCCATGAGCTTATGGGAAAGGAGGCAGGTGGGATGGGAAATGTGGGATATACTCGGGAAGACCTGAAATGATATCTTCGTACTCGACGGGAAAGGAGTTTGAAATATGGAGAAGCAGGTAGCATGCTGAATTATTTTCAAGAGCAAACACTCGAGAATCCATAGTTTTTTCATGCCGTACAGCTGGACTGTGAAGAGCAGATAACGAATATCTTTTGGACTGATGCAGGAATGTTAATTGACTACAAATTTTTTGGAGACGTAGTCACATTCGACACAACCTACAAAACAAATAAAGAATACCGACCACTTGGAGTGTTTGTGGGTTTTAACCAACATAGGCAAATTGTGATATTCGGTGTTGCCCTTATGTATGATGAGACTATAGATTCTTTCAAATGGGTGTTTGGTACATTTCTAGAAGCAATGTGCGGAAAGCGTCCAAGTACCATACTAACCGACCAAGATCATGCCATGGCAGCCACTCTTTCAGTTGTTATGCCTGAAACATTTCACGGTCTATGTACGTTTCACATGAGGCGTAATTTTATGATACATCTTGGCAATCACTACAAGGAAAATAGTGATCTTCCATACATGTTTGGTGCCTGCATGTATGAGTTTGAAGAAATGGAACAATTCAATAGGGTGTGGGAGGCGATGGTGAAGAAACACAATCTTGAAAATAATGAATGGCTCTCCGGGTTGTATAAAATTCGTGATAAATGGGCAAGGTGCATGATGAAAAAAAAATGGACCGCGGGAATGCGAAACACCCAACTCAGCGAAAGCCTAAATGCAGCAATTAAAAATCATTTGAAACTGGATCATGACCTTGTGCAGTTCTTTAGACATTTCAATCGGGTAGTTGATGAAAAGAGACATAATGAACTGATTGTAGAATATGAAATGAGGCAAAAGCTCCCCATAGTAGGGTTAAGGCAAACACCTATGCTTGTGCATGTATCAGAGACGTATTCACCAACCGTATTTGTTGCATTCCAAAATAAATATGGCGAGTCAACAGCTATGGTTATATTGAGACAACAAGATGCAGCGATGTTTGTGGAGTTTGCGGTCATGAGGTATGATGGAGGACCTGAAAGAATAGTAGTATTCAATCGGAATGATCTAAGTGTACATTGCAGTTGCAAAAAATACGAGAATGAAAGCATTTTATGTGGGCACGCGTTGAAGGTGTTTGATACCGTGGGCATAAAAATAATTCCTCCTGAATACATTAAGAGGCGATGGACAAAAAGAGCTCGGGCTGGAGACTGTTTTGATCGGCGAGGACAGGAAGTTGTGGCTGATCCTAAAGTAATGATTTCAACTCGTTATCGGGAGCTCGCTCCAGCCATGATTAAGGTCGCAACTCGAGCAGCAATGTCGGAGGACACAAGCAAAGTAGCAATCACTGTCATATCCGATTTGTCAAAGAGAGTTGAGCTCCTCCTCTCAAAAAGCGAAGAGCAACCTTTGCAAAATCAAAAAAATCTGAATATGGAGGAACGAGATAAAATTGAAATTGTAAATGAAATGGGGGAGGCAGTAGTCGCAAGAGGCATTAAAAAATGAGGCGGTGGGAAGAAAAGTAGAGTGATGCGAAGTTGGGTCGATAAATTTGATAGAGTAAAAAGAAAATCTAGATTATCAAGAACTACACAGACTACAGTATGGATCAAATTTTGGTACTTGGGGAACATTTATGCTAAAATTAAGTTATTGTTATACTATTAACTAAAGTTTAGGTAACATTCATTATGAAATAATATTATTGCCGTGTCAATACTGTAGGTTTCAGAATCGGAGCCGACATCGGTTTCATTTGAGGAATACATGTTTATGAGATGCCGTTCATCTACTGACTCTGTTTCGGTTAGTATAAAATGGACATGACTCTTACTTTTATTTGGATGTTTCTAACAGTATAAATAGTTACATTGATGTTACATTGTGTGATAATGTTGTTACGGCCGTCATCCCTCCTGATATACGTATTTTGTTTGTCTTATACAATGATTTGGCCCATACGAAACTTGTAGATGCATTCAATGAGTCAGACAGTGAATGGCCCTCCAAATGTTGTTGCTCCCGATATCGATGAAAGTCAAACGGTATGCATACATTTAGTAGTTAAAATAAAACCTTCTTGTTCATGTAGTAGAGCTACCTTTTTTTCTTTAATTGTAACGGTGGGCTCCCGAAGGCTGTCAAATCATGCAAATTATGTAGTTAACGTATGCTCGCTTTAATAACGTATTATTTTTTATTATTCCAAGGTCCACCGTTTGGCTAATCAGGGGCCTCCTGCAAGTGTCCCTATAGAATGGATGCATCCCAGATTTTCTATTTTTTTCAAGCATAACTCCATCAGAAATGTCTTAATGGTCTGATATATCATTTTTGTTATAATGTCTAGTCCAATTTAACTTTATAAGTGAGCAATATAGGCACTGGTAATGATTTGTTGACAGTCGATTACTTATACTATATAATGTAGGAGGAGCGTGGGGCAATTTCAACATACTGTGATGTTGATGCATATCATGTATTTGCACCATCACCTCAGGTGACAAACTTTTATCGTTACAGCACATATTTATGTAATGTTATTAATTGGAGACTTGGACATCGTATATCATTAATCGTATGTTTTATTAATAATATTTGCTGATTTGCCATCGTTACGCATTTCAGGGAAGAAATAACACACAGGGATTGCAACTACGCGTTGACGTCGCCTCCCCCCAGAATGAGGTTGGTGAATGATGTGTAACTATACATTTTGAACGAGACATTAAGTGGTTGTCCCAACCTGAGAATGTTGCATATGTACGTTACAAGCAGTTAATAAACTGTTACAACTTATTGACGAGGTTATACAGGCACCATTGATGTTTCACTCTTTTCAAATTTAGACAAGTGGATTACAATTGTAATCGCATCTAGTATTAGTAGTCATCAATAGTTTGTATTGGGTTGTATAAAATTGTTAGAAAATTATAAAGTTGGTAGAAAATTGAAGTAACAATTTTACAATAGAATTGAACGTATTTTTTGTGATCGGATATTTTTCACTAAATCGACCATAACAGTTGAATGATTGTCGTGATATGTATATCATTCTACTACATTCAATTGCATACCTTAATAACATATTTATTGGCATAGATCGCACCGTCAAAGGTACGATGTATAAGATAACACAATCTAAAGTCTAAATTGTCTTGATTTTGTTATGATGATAAATTCGAATTATTATTGGGCTATTTTTATAAAACATTATCATTTAGGCGATTTGTTTTGCATCGCTTGACGAATTTAGTGCACCATTGACATGATATATCACAGGCACATCAATTGGTATTGCAAGTTTTTAGGTTAATTAAATTATGGTCAAATCAGGTCACGACCACATGTTGGTAATAGGTGCGCATAAGAAAATGATTCCTTGGAGAACTAATTTGTAACGTTAAAATGAAGTTTTACAATGCAACAAAAAGGAGGAACGAACAGTACACAATGGGTTACAACCAGTTAGGGATCTGTTACTGTTACGTTTCAACTAGTTACGACTGAGTAACAGGCATGATTAATATCCAAATATGGTAAGCAATTTGTTTGAGTAGAGATTATAATGAGTATAGTTTTACCGCTACCCAAACAAACATTGAACTACATCCCTTGTTATCAGTTGTATCCCATACAACACCTGGGAACGCCGTCATGCATTAGACAATGGGGTATGTACCTTTGAAAGTCATCGTCGCTTGATTCAGTAAAATCAGATAGGTCCGGATCGGATATAAGCATGGGATCTGCTAAAATGTGCTGAACATCAAAATGTTTTCCAATACCATGTCTTTTTGCGGCTTGGATCTCGTGAAACCTGTGAAGCCTACGCTCCATCTGCATAACTTCTCGCTGTAGTCTATGTAATACGCTTGCATCATTGGCTTGTGGTCCTATAACAAGATCCGCCGACCTTGTTCTCGGGACGCGGAGGCCATGCCAGCGACAAAATACCTCTAATTCCATTCTTCGCTCACGAACAGGCTCCCATATGGGTTCATGGTCCATAACGGAATAGCCAGACTGTAGATGATTATTGACGGTATTTTTAAAAATGTGACCAGCTAGTCCCAGAGAATTGTTGGTGTTAAGTGGAGCGTTCTTGAACTCGCGTTTGGTACCATATAAAATCCTCCCATCTGGTGTTTCGTACTTGCCGATGGCATTTGTTGGACCCAACGATACTTTTCGTCTTTTTTGCCGAACATTTGATGGTGAGCTTGTATGAGATCCTTCGTTTGTGGATTGCATGACTATGCTGATACCTACTACTTTTTGGTTGTATGAAAGAAAGGATCTACTGATAAAGAAATAGGTGGGAGAAAAAAAGAGATAGTAATTTTTAACGGAGCACCTGTTTCAGATCATGCATAGTAAATGGTTTCCTCTGACAACTTGACCAACTGCTTGCTGCGTCTTTTCATGCTGTTCTCTACGGGATAGTACTCCTGGGTGAGTAGATGAAGGCATGGCAACCACCTATTAACGAGAGAATAGACTCAAGGTTTGGTCAAATGTATAGTGTGTGGATGAAATAATGGTTCAATTCGATTGGATCATGACCTGTACTCCAACAACAATTGGGTCGTGAATACCCAGTTATACGTCAGTCACCTTACTTTTCAAGTGTAACAAGAAGTTACAACCAGCATATGTATATTACAAGAAATTAATAAGCTGTTACTGCTTATTGATGTGTTTGTACAGGCACCTTGTCATTTGCTTGTATGTTAAAACTTAGACAATTTGTTTATAATTGTATTAATGATAAGTATTACAGATAGTATTGCAGGCACTTCAATAGGTAGTACTCCTTCAGTACAGAAATGAACTTACAATTGGCGGCTCGACTTGGTTCAACGTGACCACATAATAAGTAACAGTTTCGCAGAAGAACATGATATTTCGTTGGGACAAGTAATTTGAAAGTAGGGTAACTAATATTTAAAATACTACAAATTTTGATTACGCCATGTACCATTTTGAATTACAACTAGTTATATATATGTTACAATTCATTACAACTAATGAATTTGCAATCGGCAGTTTTTCGTCTTATCTAGTTAAAACTAGTGATATTACAACTAGAAATTTTCTGATATTACAACTAGTGATACTACAACTAGTTAATATCCGATTAACCTTTCCTCTTCTCTTGTTTGTGCAATTGCACTTGGCACAAACAACAAGTCCTCCCCCCAACACATAAAATTTTATTAGACACTTTAGTAAGTGTCTAATGAGAACATAAAGATGGTCGATTCGAACCCCAAAACAATTGATGTAGCGAGACCTTCTCGAACATCTCATTAAATTAGCGAGATCTTCTCGAACATCATACAACCTACTGGCTGCTATTTGGCACCCAAGAACTTGATTTTTGTGTGAACCCTCTATTGATGACACTGCAATTGAAGTTAGAGGCGGGTTGAAGAATATTAATAATAAATTTCAGGCAGGGTTCATTGCCACCCTTCAGTAGAATGATATGGGAAGTGTGAAGTAATTTAAAATGAAAGGTGGACGGAAAAATTTTTGTTGTTGAGGGATATACTACTGCACTCGCGCCCTTTTATAGTCCGTCGGACCCGAACAATGTGCTAAAATATCACTGGACAATGCATTCCAGGGCAAACAATTTTGTCATGGCAGTGGAAGTTGTAGAGTTCTATGCATGCCATTGAACTGTGTCACATCTGTTCAGACAATAAAACAAATTATGCAGCTTTTGTCATGAAATGACCTGTACACCAATATTAAGGGTCATGTGGATAAACAGTTACACATCAGTGACCTGTACATTTCACTATGTACGGATTGCGTTACAGCCAGTTAGCTGTATGTTACAATTTATTATAACTAATGAATTTGCAATCAGCAGCTTTTCGTCTGCTCTATTTAAAACTGAATAATATTCCAACTAGATATTTCCCGATATTACAACTAGTGATAATACAACTAGTTAATATTCGATGAACCTTTTCTCTTCTCTTGTTTGTGCTATTGCCCTTGGCAGAAACGATAATTCCTCCCACTGACACATTAAATTTCTTAGACACTTTATTAAGTATCTATTGAGAATAGTTACGATGATCGTTTTGAACCCCAAAACATTGCGTAACGAGACCTTCTCGAACATCTCATTAAAATAGTGAGATCTTTCCGAACGCATATGAGGGCAACTAGTACATCACGGGAGAAGAGACTGTAGACCCACATGCAGTGCCTGAACCATGTCGGATAAGTTTTGTTACGTACAAAGCGCCAGATTTGTAGTACCGACAGTGAATATACGTGTTACGTGCTGTTGCTAATCTTTTACAGACTTCAACACATGTTTGCAGCTTTTATCATGTTTTGGTCCTGTACACCATCTTTTAAGAGAGCACCTATATACAGAGTTACACATTAGATTCATGTACGTTTCACTGTGTGCATACACAGTTACACTGTCACAGGGAGGTATGACAGCCCAAAACAACAGTTTCTTAGCCAAGAGTCAGATGTGTAACACTCTATGGCCTTGGTCAGTGTATGACCCAAATTTACTACCTCTATGAGCGGTTCGTACCTCCTTCTGCTCCAATGCTCTATAGGGGATTGAAATTCGACTAGAAATTTTATATATGTTGTAACTCAGAACGAACAAAGAGGTAAATAAGAACTTATAAATTGTAACAATATATGAACAGTTTGTCAATCGTATGGACAAAATGTTGAACTATATTTTTAGTATCGATACTCTTAATAAGTGTTACGTTGTGTCGCTAATCAGCATCAGAAAATAAAATAAATTTTACAGTTTTTATCATGGTAAGACCTGTATTGCAACATTAAGGGTACCGATGTGAATACAGAGTTACACATCAGTGACCTTAATTTCGACAATGTGCATACACAGTAATACGTAAAACATTGTGCATAAAATCTCACAATGAATGTCAGTTTTTTGGCCCAGAGTCAGATGTGTAAAACTGAATGGCCTTGGTCATTCAATGACCCGCAATATGATAGTACCTGAATAAGCACCTCCTTCTGCTCCTGATGCTTTATTAAAGATTTTCAATTTGACAACTAATTTCCTTGAATGTTGTAACTTAGGACGAACAAAGCTGTAAGTAAGAACGTACGAATTGTAACAATTTACAATTAAGGTAACCATTTGTGCATCATTATACAATTCATAGTTTCAATTAGTTGGAGTCATTAACACAAAATAATTGAACAACACAAGTGATTTCAGATAAAAGAGCAATCATATAATTTCACAAAAAACTTTCAATGTGACTTCACCAGTTTCATTCAACTATACGACTGCATCTACTGTTAACTCTATCTTCTAGATCAACTGCCAAAATGAAAAGTCAACAGTACAAGGACGTCAGTGTAACTTTGCCTATAGAGGATACATCTCCGACAAACTACAGGAGAAGTTCATATCATATGGGTCGAAAAATTAAAAGTGCTGTCAGCGAAAAATTGCTATTAGGAGCAACAGAAAGACGACCGTTACCGATATCGTCATGAAGGTTTTCATTTGTCGAATATCTTGTTCGATTCGTTGCACATGATACGGGAAAGAGTTTGGTTCATTTTGCACTGTTTCGGGACTGTCGAAGGAGCTTTCTCTACTTATTGCTTGTCGATTAGGTGAGGGAGGGCAGTAGTTAGCCTGAATTTGCTCATGATTCCTTCCTATTGGATGACACCAAGCGAAAAAAGCACAAGTTTTTCCTTCACAGACGAAGTACAGCAACCCCTTCGTTGGTTTCTGTGACTCCACGATCTTCAGCCCAGCCCTTTTTCCACAGTGACAGTATCGATATTGGTACCTTAACTCAGTAGATCCGCCACCAAAATTGCTCGATGAAGACATTTCAACGATCTAAAACTCCTTTTGGGCCACATAAGCTTTTGTGTTTTAACCTTCTGTTGAAGTAGTGTTTGTGTGTCGATCAGGAGCTAACACGGACCAACACACAGGTGGGAGTTTATATGTGGCAAGAAACGATATAAGCTAGCTAGTAGTAACATAATTCTGGAGAATTAGTAAGTATAGAATAAGTAACATGTTTTTTGAAAACAAACACAAAACCCGAAGTACACATAATGAATACATTTTTTTGGGTGTACTTTTATGGTAATTAATACAAATTTTGCGAGTAACTACCAATTTGTTAGGTTATGTGTTTGGGTATCCCGAGTGGGAGTAGTGTAGAAGACGTCAGTAATATTGTGTTGGTATTGGTTCGTAATACCAATTTAAATATGATGCTGAAAAAATTTAGCACATAATAGGATGCAGTCCAAACTTCAGACTCACAACTGCTAGAGGTTCAACGATGTAGCGTTCCAACTTCCTACTTTTGGCAGTTCTTCCACCCCAATTCATGGGACGACTAAAAATGTCAATCACCTAATCAATATCCAATAGTTTCCAAAACATGTAATTGACTGTTACAATTGGGTTTACGTATCACTAATCCAATAAATAAATTGATAATCAAACTATTTTGTAACAACGTCCAAACACATCGTAACTAACAGTTTTCAAATATCAAGTTTTGTATTAATTTTGAAACTGTGACTTCCCAAATAACTATTTTGTAACAGTATTTGAACACCCTGTAACTTTCCAATAATTATTTTGTAACAACCTACAAACACTTTGTAACTACCAGCTTTCATGTATGAAAATTTGTATTAATTTTCAAATTGTAACTTTTCAATAACTAATTTTGCAACAAACTACAAATTCACTGTAAAAAGTCTTCAAATACGGAGTATCAGTATTAATTTTTAATCTGTAACTTCCAAAATAATTTTTTTTGCAACAATCTTTAAACACACTGTAATTTCCCAATAACTATTTTATAACAATCTTCAAACACGATGTAACTAACGGTTTTTCAAACATACCGTAACTTCCCAATTAGCTTAATATGACATTAGCCTTATCTGGATGTGGTTGGAATAAAATCATACTTAATTATTATGCTCAATTCAGTTTGTTAGATCCACTTTATATACAGCTGACATTGGTGTGTTATGACAGTATACCTACAAGTTTTCGATGATGACTAGCGAGAATTCAGACCCATATAGGTAGCAGCATAATGGTATAAACAGAGTTACCGTGTGTGTATATAGCTGTTACAGTCATGTTACTTGAATTAGAACCTTATGAATAATATAACTATACCAACCTTTCCGCTTTCGACCATATGACCACAACATACGTGGTATTTCTGGCTCATGTAGATGTGACGTCGATGCACTGACGCTCAAAGGTGGTTGCACCGTTGATTGACCTTTTTCGGCAAGTTTTATGACATTTGACCCATATTGTTCCTGCTCTTGCTCTTGAATCTGTATAATGCTTCCTTGTGTAGTTGTTGTCATGGTGGCCCCTTGTTGGTAATCAGTTACAAGAGTAGCACACGTTAAATTCTAACCCTAACAAATTTTGTTAGCCAAATTTTGGCCATTAACTATCACAGAGGGTAACCGTCCCTGCCTTTTCTCCCTTTGGATGAGGGTCAATCCCTTTATTATTTTCAGCGTACAACTTGTCAAATTTAAAGTATTTGGTGTATATACCCATCAACTTGTATATACCCATGTCAAATGAATCGTTGCATTATTTACTGACTTGTTCATATGTCAATTATTTACTGACAAGTTACATCCAATTGCATAACGAATAAATAGCCTTACAATTGGGCGCTTGTTCTATAATTACACATTGTTCATGGTAGGTTCCAGTATAGTTGGCACAGACTCACGACGAGCATCTTTGAACCATAGAGTCACGACACATTTGAACTAATTAATGCTCCGTTTATGTTATTACTGACATTATTCTAGTGTCAACAGAAAACCTGAATTAAATTCATAATTTATGGCCACAAATGATAAATAAACAGCACCACGATACAAATTGCTAATCAGTATTGATGTTAATGTCTCCAGAAAAACAAAACTACTGTCTCAAAAGAAAGGTCCTTCTAAGTAGACTCCAAAATAAAATTAGTTACAGCAATCCAAAAGCTGTCATATACACGTAATAATATACAAAAACATGTCAAATGCAATTTTGTGAACTTCCTTCTCTCCCAGTCATCAATATTTATAAATCAGGCATTACCAACATTCAACTGCGCCCGTTTAGGTACTTGCAGGTTTGCGAAGCTGTCCGGAAACTTTGAATTCTCCGTTGAGTTACACAATCGAGCTGTGTATAGCACTCGATACTTGCCAACATTTTCCTATCAGCACAAGAGGTAGGAATTAGTATAGTTGAGTGTCGAGGTAACAAGCATTAAATCAATTTCAGATGGATTGTAGGGAGAAAAGGGATATCAATTGTAATACCTCTGTAAGCCGAACAGCCAACCTTCCGCTCCAATGCTCTAGGAATGTCATAACGAAAACACCACTGTCACACCTGTTCACGTTGTCTTCTCATTAGTCAGTTATGGTATATATGTTGGACAAAAAACTTAGTACACGCTCTAACAATAATGACGGGAGAAGTCAAACTATTTACACTTTGTTGGGTGAGTGATGAGGGACATCGGCAACAGAAAATCCGAAACTGGAGAAGTCAATTTCCTTGCCAAACTTTGCCGCCACGACCAAACCCAGTGCACGTTTCTATATCACCAAAGATTATGTAAAACTGATTACAATCCACTAATGTGTCACTGTCATATCGTGTAATGCATTTAGCAATTTGTCCAACATACCAGTCGATTCAGTACACTAATGTCTTTGCTCTTTGCTTGATTGCTATCAGGGTCTAGCACGTGCACTTCTTTCTCTGAGACACCAAAGCTGTACACAAACCAAGACCCCTCTATGCATACTGGCACAAGTATCTGCGCCAAATGAGGTATGAAAAAGGTCAGACAGGTCATTCTACATAACCGAGTTCACACATGTTTTGAATGTTCAACAGTCACATAAGAAGTTTTGGATTAAAACTGATAATTGCATACCCAATCACAATTTGCAGGATCAACCCCCGTATTGTTATTGCGAACCTTGAAGAGCTTTAGAAGCTTAGCTGATAAGCTGGCATCAGAGAGCTTGTCGAATTTTCCCATTTTTAAAATTCCTTCCTGCAACCAATAACATAGCCGAGTGAAAGGTGCATAGAAGACATTAATAATGGTGCATTGGATCGTAATACCAATTCAGATATGATGATGAAAACCTTTAACACAACTGTAGGATGCAGTCCAAATTTCAAAATCACAACTGCAACAGGTTCTACGATGTAGCGTTCAAGCTTCTTAATTTTGGCAGTTCTTCCACCCCAATTCATGAGACGGGCAAACATATCAATCACCTAATCAATGGCAAATGGTGATCAAAACATATAATTGAGTGTTGCTTGGGTGAGTTTACGTATGACTATTCCAATCAATAGATACATAATCAAACTTTTTCACTAAAAGTAATGAACTACTGACCCGATTAGACACATGCATGTCATTTTCCAGTGTTTTCAAGTCAAGCCGAGTCAGCCAAAATTGATACATTTGAACAAGTATGTCCCTATCACATCCAAGACACAATTAAACGATTTACTAATAATTATTACTCCTACTCCAAATCACGAAAATCTGACTAATATATATGAACTCGAATCTCATCCATATTCAATCTGTTTTTCTATGCCATCTTATTATGAACCACACGCGTACTTATTGTAGTGAATGGATCACAAGATCGAATTAATAGTTTTGTCAAGAATCTTACTTGGGATTTTGATCCGGATCCCATGCATATGCAGCCACATTTTTTTCGTATAGGCTAACTGTCACAGGTGCTGGTAGAATGAACTCTGCTGACCGCAGAACGGTGCTCTTTTTTGTTGCACGTGTAGACTTGTGCTTCACCTCAACGTCAAGGCCTCCTACAAAAGGCAAATAACATGCATTTCATATGACATTCATTTGTTGTCGTCTAACAAATTATAAGGTATTTTGCTTCATTCTTCAGACACAATGCAATTAACAGTCATCAAACACCAATCGATTATTTTTCAAATGCAATGTAACTGTCCTAAGAACTATTTGTACGACTCTTCAAACACACTGTAACTAACACTTTTCAAACAGTTGTGATAAATTTTCAAACACACTATAACTTCTCAATAACTAATTTGTAACAGGCTTCAATCACACCATAACAGTATGTTAAATTAACTGTTTCTAAGAGTTTTCAAATGCACTTTGACCAATAAATAAGTGAGTATCAACCTACAAACACACATTTAAACAGCCATCATTTAATATGGAGTTATGTTTTAATTTTAGAAATTGTAACTTATCTATTAATTATAATGACTAACAGTCTTCAATAACATTCAACTTTCGTCTAAATAATCACTAATGTAACAAGTTACAAACACTTCGTAACTAACATTCTTGAATTACGGACTTTGCATTAATTATGAAATAACATCTTCCCCATTAACTATTTCGTAACAGCTTTCGAACACAGTATAACTTTCCGGTAACTATTGTATAATAATGTAAAATAAATTCCGAGACTAACGATCCCCGAATATGGAGTTTTGTATTCAATAGAGCAAACTGTAACTTTCAGGTAACTATTTTGTGACAAACTTCAAGCACACTGTAAACATTCTTCAAACATACTAATTTTTAATCTATAAGTTACCAAATTTTTTTGTAACAATTTTTAAACACAATGTAACTTTTCAATAACTATTTTGTAACATTTTTTCACATCAATGTAACTACCATTTTTCGAAACACACTAACTTCTTAACATGAATAAAGTCATACTTTCATAATATGCCTAATTACGTTTGTTAAATCAACTTCATATGTGTTTCACATCGGACAGGGTATGACAGTATGCCTAACAAGTTTTTGATGATGACAAGCGAGAGTTCAGACCATCATGATGGTATAAACACAGTTACCGTATATGATAATAGATGTTACAGTCATACTACTTGAATTAGAACCTTATGAATAATAACAGTATACCAACCTTTCCGCTTTCGACCATATGATCGCAACCTTCGTGGTATTTCTTGCTCAAGCAGATGTGACGTCGATGCAGTAGCGTGCAAAGGTGGTTGCACCGTACATTGACCCTCTTCGGCAGGTTCTATGACGTTTGACCTGTATTGCTCCTGCTCTTGCTCTTGAGGCTGTATAATGCTTCCCTGCGCAGTTGTTGTCATGGTGGTCCCTTGTTCCAATCCGCGACTGATGTTATCGAGTACGACTGATGAGGTAGGAATTGGATTCTCCACGTCCATTACATCTTCATTCAGCTCTGGGTCTGGGATACCTTCAATATTTGTCCTCGTATTGGCATCGTCTTTCTCGGCCTGCTCTGCATTATGCTCGTCTTCATCAGACCCTTCCGCATCAATTTCTTCAGTATCATCATCCTCGTCGTTGGCCCCTTCTTCGGCAGATTGAAATTCCAGCTCTTCTTCGGTATCAGGACTCTTGTGCATTATATAGTCCTCCTGTACAGGTTTTTTTCCTTTGTCCAATGTTTCAGGCCCAGAAGTGGAAGCTTTTGCTCTCGGCTGAGAGGAGAGGATTTCTGCAATCTTCAATATCCTTCGTTGGCTACTAACAACAATGTTATACAGCTCATTTAGCTCAGCCTGCAGTTAGATGATGAAGTTATCAATCCATAAATGAGCCACATGCTCTCAACAATGGAATACAATACAGGCATATACAATAGTACATTTACGCAAAGGTTCTTAATTTAACATTTGAATTGCGGCCATAGGTTAAATAACTATAACTTATATACTAAAAAATAAAATGGTCACCCGGGATCATTGAAACTTCATACATTTATAACATGATTGGCCAAGACATCACTATATTTTTGTATTTCCATTCATGTGACTTAATTTTTAATAACTCTCTGGACAGGGATGTAATATTGGGATTGGTATCACATATTAACATGATACTACAACATGAATGAAGTTGATAGGCCTATCAATAACCAATAATGTTTCTTACAATATGCAGTAATTACGTCTAATCAAACAACAAATTTCATTAAATCATGGAACAGACCCACTTACACCGATATCGGCGTGCCCGCTGTTCATCAGCATCCCTACCAAATCAGGGGGTAGTTCAGTACTCTGCCCATCATATTCATTATCTTCCGGATCATATTGTCCAATCTTTAACAACAAATTAAACCAACCATTTCAATAGCAAAGCCATGCACTACATAGACCACTACATTTTATATGAAATGAGGTCAACAATATATAACATTTTACCAGTTTTCCTTTTCCATAAGCTCCAAGATTTTTAATCTCAAGTGCATCCCTTTCAGAGATCAGAGCATCTGTCCATGCCTTAGCTCGCGGAGTAGTCCTCGACACTTTATGCTTCAGTATTTGTACCCGATCAAGATAATGAATCAGCAATACAATACAGCAATTAATTCAACTGTAGATAAACTTGACCACACTGTTAAAACATCATCGTAGACGCATTCATTGAGCATAATCTAATCAATCCATCGCACTGAATTCGATAAAATATGGAAATACAGACAGTAGTTATGAAGGCACGCAAAACTAATTGACTCTCTGGTGCACTGTGCAACAATTACAGCATATTTTCATCATGACTACAACTGTCTAATCTTACCAGCAGAACGAAGATACAACCGCCAACGTATTGGCGCTGCTTTTCACTTTTCTTTTGCACCTCTAGCACCTTATTGCATAGTACGATCCTCACATACTCAGTCCAGTTCAATCTGGCTACCCTATCAACCAATTGCGTACAGTTTCAAAGCTTTATTTTGTGCTCGGCTCTAGTGGTTGGAGCCAGTAGACATCCACAACAAAATGCCACGAATAGTCTTAAGAATTCTTCCTCTGCATTCATGGCTACCAACTCATTTGGGAGCTCATTCCATTTGTATGTCCTACGACTTGGTCCAGTTCCCCCAACCTCGGTTGTATCGGTGTCTTCAACTGGAACAGGACCTTCGTTCGGGATCCCCAGGATTAAACTGATATTCTTTGACGTTAAAGGTAGCACACCATCTCCATATACATTTAAACTGCTCAATGTCGGATTAAAGTTGTCAACAAGCCAGGTGGCTATGCCACTAGGAATCCAGTGACACTGTATGTCTAGCAGCCCTCCAAATCCTATATCTCTAATCTGCTGCTTCTTAGTTTCATCGATTCGTGAAACGAAGCTTGACATCTGCTTTGGCGAGCATCGGATAGTGTACTTTTGATTCTACACCATTTTTTAGATATATGCATTAGACTAATATAAGTTTCGTATCCGTGTTTGATGAATCATGCCGTGTATTTACCTTGATTTGAACACGTGCTTTTCGCAATATCAGCTTTCCTAGACGTTCCATTTCTTTCTCATACTCTTTTTTCTCTTTCAAATACTCCTCTTTTCGCTTCCTCGTTTCTTTCTCACTCAACTTATTATATGCTGCCCGGGCAATGTCATTGTACTGCATTGAATAAATTAAGTCAAAAAACACTTTAGACTAAACACAAAATAATTGCTCGTTTCACTATTTTTCCCTTAGGCACCCC